TGACTTTCTGGCTGTTTTCCATTCAAATTGCAGCATAAATGAATGGGTTTGTGCCAGCAGGAAAAACAAACTAGGGACAGAGGGGGGTAGAACAGTAAAAGAAGACAGTAATACAATCCTTAAAAACAGACTTTATCTCTTTGACAGGGTTCTTACGGAGAGACCCGGGGGATTTAAAATTCCACAGGGCACTGGCAAATGGCAGTTGGTGTCAGAAATCATTCAGCATGAGTTATCTTTATCCAACTGACTGCCACACCGCAGTACTGTGCAGGCAATCTCTAAGTGTTCAGGAGTAGGGTATGGATGTCCATGTCTGAGAAAATGCACATTGGCAGGCCTCCAAAAGCAACACAGAAGGTTCAGAATTCACCCCAACATGTTCTCCAACCTCCTGAGGCCATCCAACGCACAAACTAGGTCAAGGTTTATCCTGGTTCAGGTGCAATTTTCTGGGGTCAACAGGGATCACGAAGAGTGACTTAACAGAGACACAGAGGAAGGCTTTAAGAGTCCAGGTGTGACTTCACCAGCACTATGTTAACAGTCTTCTGTCAGCTCAGAGCCTTAAGGAAAGCTTGGCAAAATGTATGTTTTTGAATTGTCACACACTTTGTTCAACTGACTTGGGCCACAAACATTATGATATAGAGACACGGCACTCAAAGAACCCTTAAATCTACAGGGGAAACGAAACAGATTGTGGCACTTGTTTTTCACGTGTGGTTTCAAGATATAGGTGGGTGAAATTCTCTCGTTTTTGGCATTTTTATTACTCTGGTGCAATTAGGCAAATGCTGGCACACTGGATTGAGCAATGAATGAAGTTGGAATGTTGTGTAACAGAAGTAGAACTTCAGTAAAAAAAAAAAAAAGCTTTTAAAACTTTATTTGATGCACTTTTATTCCTGGTAAGAGAAGTCTGGACCAGCTCCTTATTTACTCAAGAATCATACTTGAGGATGCTTATGAGTTTGCCCAACTTGTTGACTCGTATTTGTGAATTTGGACAAGGGATTTGACCTCAGCTTGAAGCCCCCCACGGTGTCCTGTGAGTGGTGCTTCGACGGTATGCATTATTAGGACAATTGTTAACCCTTTAAAGCCTCAACCTTGAAATAATTACAAGAAAATGAAATGAAAACGAAATGCTCATGAAACCTTGTGATGATATTTTAAATAATAATTTGCATATATTAGTTATAATTGTATTGCTTAATATATATATATTTGGCAGTTTAACTTGTTTGTTTGGTTGTTTTTCATTTTTTCGGGGGCAGGGGGCAGTGCAGTGCCTTTAGTTGGTTCCTTTAGTTCATTTAGTTCATCTTTGTTCCAGTGGCTGATGGACTCTGGCAGAACTGCCCTTTAACACTGATTCTGACGATAACTATGGACAGAAATTCAAGGTGCAATTTCAAGATTTGTTGGTTTCAGGGTCACATCTTTTATTTTTATCGACGTGTGATGTGACTTCATCATTCTATGAAGGCAGTGGTTTGATGCCAAATGTGAAGTGGCTGGAATGAGGATTAGCACCTCTATGTCTGAGGCCAGAAAAGGGTGGAATACCCACAGTGGCTTAGGACGAGTTCCTATTCAAGTGGAGAAGTTCATGTGTCATGGGGTACACGAGTCAAGGAGACAGGAACAAGAGACTGACAGATGGATTGGCACATCATCTGCATGGATATAACTAAACTACCTGTTGTAGTGAGGTAATTATGATGTGATTCTTTTAAAAACAATCAGAGGTAAAGACATTCTGTACTTAAGTAGAAATGCTAGTTTCTGTTTGTTGGCATGGCCAAATAAATTGGTGTATTTGAGATTTGTCAACTATTACTTTTGTGTTTATACCACCTATTACCTTTTGGTATTCAACTCTGGAGTTATTTAAGTTTTGGCCTACCACTGTGGATATTGTGTATGTGTGGATATGGATATGTGTATATTGGAAAGGTGGCCTCTTCAGAGACAGAAAATCTCAAATACTTCCTCGGGAGTTCAGTCATTCAGGAGAGGCTTAGAGTACAGCATTTCCCCCTTTACTTTAAAAAAGAGACAACCCAAAGAGGGCTAAGCATCTGATTAAGATGCTTCCTGAGCACCTCCCAGGTGAGGTGTTTTCGCCATGTCCCACAGGAGGAAGACTCTGAGACTCTCAGACCCAGGACACACTGGAGAGATCGAGTCTGTCGTCTGATCTTGGGATTCCTCACTGCTAGAAAAATACTAAGCGACAATTACACAGAAATGGAGACAGGAAGACTAGCGTCCTTGGAGAAACTTTTTTTTTCTCGTACTAGTCACAATGCATCAGCCTGATCACAAAGTTATGGCATAAAATGGGCTAAGGTTGTTGTTATTTTAGCCCCTAGGACTGCAGGGGACATATTCCAGCTGTGAGACTGTAGCTGTTGGATGGCAGGGTGAAAACTGCCCCCAACCCCCAACTGAGAAGCTCTCCAGAGTGTGTTGCTGATCAAAAACTAGCTGATCAAAAACTAGCACTAGAAACCCTATACTCCAAGAGGGCCTGTACATTTATCCCACCAAAAAATGCAGAGTGCAGGTTTATGAACAATGTGGAAATTATCAAGAGAAATTTCAATCACAGTAGTCAATGCAAATTACAGAGGAAAGAAGGTTCAAGCTGAGGGCACCTCGAACAAATGCTGACTTAAAATGTTTCACACAAGGTCTCATGGAAAAGCTACAAATGCTCAAGGCTGGAAAATATCACTGATAATCAATGTTAACACTGAAAGCCAATAAGCAATTCTGAATTACTGACCAATCATATTTTTGACACAGTGATATTCTCTGGCTGCTATATATGGGGCAAATGAGACATACTGACATAGGTACAATACACTGATTAATTAAACGGAGGTTACTTGGATGCAATGTATGTGATACATTCAGTGATATGAGCCCTTCAGCTGTAACTGCTGATGGAGAAATCTGTGTGAATGAAAGGCTGCTGGCCTGAATGTTAGCGTCAAACTCAAGGAAGCATTTTTGGCTCTCGGGTACTGATGAGCAAACTGCATTACCATCACATAAAAGCAAAGCTGCCAAAAAAATCAAACTGCTTTTACATAGAGGAAATAATACGAAGACAAGAGCTTTCAGCATAATAAATGAGTCTTGACAGGAGTTTCATAATGAACCTCTTGACTTATGAGTCACCACCAAACAAAATATTCAGATTCAAATTGCTACTCTTTGGGTTTGAGCATCAAATATCCACAAGCTGTGCTTTAATTTCATCTGTTTAGTGCCTTTTCACACTTCTAAAAATATTCACAAAATAAACAAGCCAACCTAAATACGTTTTATTTATAGCCACGGTTTTAAAATGAATTCCAAGAGCAAAGCAAGCAGTGCGAGATCATTAGATTTAAGCAGCAGAATGAGGGCAGTGTGATCATAAATGGCTGCTTTGTGCACTATGAAAAATTAGGTTTTTCTTCAACGGTCCTCGGGGAGGAGGCCAGTGACCTTCACAATTTTCCCCCAAAACATGGAGGGGCAACCATGGGGGGCCGCGGAGGGAGACACACGTCCTCGTGAGCACAGGAGGTCTGAGTCTACCTGAACAGACTACAAGGAAACCCTTCATGAACCACGCTCCCCACTCTTATTTACACTAACAAACACA